TGTTATCTTGTTGTTCAGTCTGTGTCCTGTATTCTGTAGACATCTTTCATGCTATTGTTGTGTGCTTATAATGCAGCACTGTACAGATATTCATATCTACATTAGTGCTTATATGATAATATCATATAATATACAGTAATATGGGTTCCTCATTTCAACTACTTCTGCTTTTTGACAGTGATCTGGTCCCTATCCTGTCAAATACGTGGGGAATTACCGTACTGTAAATGAGAGCATCTCTGACCAAATGCAGTGTGCCTTTTCCCTGCCTCTGGAAACAAGATCGTGGAGCTGCTATGTTGTGGAAACCCACAGGATGACCTTGGGCAGGTCACACTCTCTCAGCTTCAGGGAAAAGCAAAAGCAAATTCCCTCTGAACAAATCTTGCCAAGAATACTCCATAAAAGGTTCCCCTTAGGACTGCTATAAGTCAGAAATTACATGAAGGTATACAACAACAACAAATTGGGATTCAATGGCTTTAAAAAGTAGCCAAGTTTTTTTCTTGGCACTGAAATCAAACTAGTGCCAATTGGACCTCCAGGAGAAGACCATTCCACAACTAGGGTGCCACAGCTGAGAAGGCCTTTTCCTATGTCCTCCCACAATGCATTTCTCCCATTGGTGAAGTACAGAGAAGGGCCCTTAGCAGACTGCAGTCCTCAGGCTGTCATATATACAGAGAGCATTCCTTCAAGTATTGAGGGTCAGCACTATTGATAGAATTCTAGATGGATAGACTCAATCAAGGAAGCCATAGCCCTGAGTCTGCAAGACCTGAGCACGGAGGTTGAGGATGAAGGACTTGGAGGTCTCTCATTCATGGGATCACCATAAGTCCAAGTCAACTTGATGGCAGTTAACACCTCTTGATCCCTCTCTTTAAGTACAGAATAAAATCCAAAGCAGACTCACCACCCCACTGACATGGAAGCCACCAGCTACCACTTGCATGCACTTCTTGCAGTCTCTCACAGGGGTTGCAGACTGCCAGAAATAGTGCAAATTTAATCCACTTTTAGGGTTAGGGTTAGTGCTAGGGAATCATGGGAATTGTTTTGTTTCTGAGACATTGAGCCTTCTCTGTCAGAGAGCTCTGGTGCCACAATAAAATACAGTTCCCATGATTCCCTAGCACTAACCCTAACCCTAAAAGTGGACTCAATTTGCACTATTTCTGGCAGTCTGCAACCCCCCTCAGTCAGCTTGGTGCTTCCCCTATCAGCTTATTTTACAAGCAACACCCATGTGCATGGTCAACTCCAAGCAATCCTCCCTCAGCAAGAAAAACTAACAAAAGAGCAGATCCCTCATCAGATTAACAGAATTTGTCCTTAATTTGCAAGTGTTGAAAGAGCAAGTTGCCAAATAACAGGACGTTGAAGGCAGGGGCTACCTGTACATGAAATCTGGACAGGATGCCAGCTGGGGAGCTCAAGCCTTAACATCCCTTAACATCCCATCTTTTGGAAACTATGCAGAGAATAAAATGCCTGCATTATGAATACGAACAACTTGCAGCCCCAGCCTTTCAATGCCTTCTTGGCAGTAAATGCCACTGAACCCACGTAAATGTGCCTTTGGCTATTCTCTTCCTAACTGGACATCCTTGGGGAAGGAAGCTCCATTGCACACCATGAGAACTTACTTTTCAGGATAGATGTGATTAAGCACAGACTGGAAAGTGGTTAGGAAGAGACCTAGGTTTTGATTCACCTTTGCTAGCCTGACATTTATTTTTAGATGAGTGGAGCTGAAAGGTCAGGACAAAAGCATGCTTGTTATCCCATGGTGTTTTCTAATTTATTTATGAATATACAAGTGGATCACGGGGGAGCAAGGCAAAGAGACAGATAATGCTTGTCTTGAAAATCTCCCCCACCCCCAGCCACTCCACCATAGCCAAACAAATCTATATTATTTCTTCTAGTCATTTGCAAAACTCAAGATCCCCCACTCCTGCCAAAGTTCTTTTCTCCAATCTTTTCCCCAAGCGCATGGTAGAGATGGTGAAGGAGGTGCATAAAAGTTGATAGTCACCATACATAAAAGCCCATCAACATCATGAATGGACTGTGATTTCCTTGACTGAATCAATCCACCTGGAGTGCAGTTTCCCTCTTTTCCTACTGCATCCCACTTTTCTCAACGTAATAGTCTTTTCCAGTGAGTCAAATCATTTCAGGATATGTCTAAAGAATGACAGCCTCAATTTAGCCAGGTTTGGTTTTGATGAGAATTCAGCCTTTATTTGCTCTTGGACCCATTCATTTGTCTTTTCAGCAATTCATAGTATCCTCAGACTGCTTCTCCAACACTTTTTCAAATGAGCTGACCTTTTGCTTGTTAGCTTTTCAGAAGCACGCACAGAAATCAGAAATACTGTGGCCTAGGTGATTATGACTTTGATATTTAATGATATATCTTTACACTTGAGCATCTGATTTTGTTCCTTCGGAGCCACCTTTCTTAAGTCTTAATCTTCTTCTGATTTCTTGACTACATTTGGCTTAATTTCCAAGCCAAGGTATAGGAAATCTTTA